AAAAAAAGGATTTGGCGCGCCAGAGCCCCGAGCCCACAGCCTGCGCAACTCCGCCCACAGTCTCGCAGAGCCCAGAGCCCACAGTCTGGCAAGTGCGAGGTTTTGGAGCGTCTGAAGCGTCCAGAATCCAGAAGCTGGCTGCTCCAACGGCCAGTATGGCCCACAGTCTGGCACAGAGCCCAGAGCCCACAGTCTAGCAAGTGCGAACTTTTGGCGCTTTTGCTTTCGGGCCCAGAAAAGTAAGGATTTGGAGAGCTCAGGTTCCACACCTTCGGTGGTCCCAGGCGCCGCCCCTGCCTTCGCCAGAGCAGGGGTCGGCGGATATGTTTACAGTATACAATGTGTTTGCTTGTTGGCAAGCACGCGTTCTCCCACCTGCGTTCAGCTACAGGGAGACTCCCAAGAAGGTGGACAAGGCTGGACTCCTGGCCAACGCGTGCTGCGATGTTTAGCTGGAAACTGCTGCCAATGCTACTGTAGGTTTGACGGACTTTGGATGGTTTTGTTTTTGTGAAGTCTGGAATCTGGAGAGTTTGGTTTGTATCATGTCAAGTTCATGTTGCCAACCAAAGAAGCTGTGGTGCACGCACAAGGTTTCCGAAACTACTGGTGCCAGTCCATCTGCAGGCAGCGAGGGCTTGTGTATTTAGGAGATGGTCTTTGCATTGAATCGAAATTTGCAGAAGCACGGGTTCAGTTTTGGCAGTGGGTCAAAACCTCCCCACCAAACCATGGAAGGTTGACATCCCGTTGGCGGATTTTCATGGTTAGCGAGTTGGCCTCGGTTTTGACCCGACCTTGGTCGAGTGTCAGCAGTGGCCTTGGTTGAGTCAATGACCAGTGCGTGTTGCTCCATCAACCGCCAGCCAATGTATCCCATGGTGAGGAGCGGAGCCTGCAGAGCCAAAGCCAGCCTTTGAGGCAGAACCGCCAGTTTGTTGGTTCCCAACTAAGTCATGTAGATGGAGCGATGGAGTCATGATGAAATGGTCATGTTTGCACAGCAAGTCGACCCCTTACCATTGATTGAGGTTGTGTGTTTATTCCCAGGAGTCGAACGTGAAGCGTCATGGTTGGACAATGTCCTTTGTAATTAGGTCTAATACTCAAGTCAACCTATTGGCCGCAACTTGATTCATTTGTCATATACCTGCGACCAGCTTGATTGAAATCTGGCTGAGGGTGCCCTACCTTCTGTCCTGCAGCAGTGCTGAACCTCAGATGGAGAAGAGTATAGTGCTTGGCAAGTATCGATCTTGGCGATTGAACATGGCAGCAACCGATTATCTGATTATCTATACATATCATATATATATTATATATATAATCCTCCTGGGTTGACCACTGAAAAACGTGTCCTGCATGCCCAGGTTTTGCAGGTTTGTGATTCGACAAATGTGGTCATTCCCATTGAAGGTGGTTTTGAACTCGCGGGTTTGCATCTTGTCGAAAACCTGACACTGTGTAGAAAAAGTGGTACCCACACAACTGGCAGGGGGATACAGGGGGAAGGATGAGGGAAGAATGTTGCGTTCGCCGTGTCTTGGCTCCTATGAAAAATGCTGGCTCTACAAAATGACACACTCTACAACATGGGTCGTCATGTTCTTATTTGCCAATTTGCATTCTACCCGACTTGCAAAACTGGTACCCTCTACAGAATGTATCATGGACTGCTTCTGTTTTTGTTAACAGTTAACTCATTTTCTCCCTTTTCTCTATCTATCCCCTTCCAGAATCTTCCCATTTTGTAGAGTGTGTCCCTGTCCCCAAATGCCCTTGTGCGTGGCATTTTGAAGAGACTCGTCTCCACTTACCTTGGTGAATGTGTTTTCTCTCCATGTGGTTCACAATTGCACATGTTAAAAGATCGCAAGTATTCAATATGAAGTGCATTCAGGATACATACTCGATTTGTGACAGTTGAGCTTGGGTGAAAAACCCACCGCTGCAACCGTCAACCTGTAAATTCCGAGACCCTATAGTCGAGCACCGGAGGCTGAAGAATGCTATTCATGGAGCTCGCCGAAAGTTGCAGGAGGTGCCACGGCATCCTAAAACCCAATTCTGCAGTAATAAGAAGCTACTAGGGGCTCCTAGGAGCAAGGACGCTACTAGGGGCTCCTGGCCTTACTACTAGGAG